CAGCCGTGTCGCACTTGGCTGCGAACCACTCTAGCGAAAGCTGTAGATCACAATCTGATTAAGCCAATAAGACCACATCATCTGCAAAAAGCAGAGACGCAATCCTAAGGCCACCAAAACGGATCCCCTCAACACCTTGGCTGCGCCTAGAAATTCTGTTCGTAAAAGTTATGAACAGAATCTGTGACAAAGGGCAACCTTGGCAGAGTCCAACTCTCACCGGGAACAAGCCCGACTTACTGCCAGCAATGCAGACCAGGCTCTGACACTGGTCATACAGGGACCTAACAGCCCGTATCTAAGGGCCCGGTACCCCATACTCCCAGAGTACCCCCCACAGGATTCCCCGAGGGACGCGATCAAACGCTTTCTCCAAGTCAGAGGCACGGAACATGCCCCACTCGGACTCAATGTCCCCCACCTCCCCCGGAACATGTTCGAAGTTCTCCCGGAGGTGGGAGTTAAAGCTCCGTCGCACAGGAGACTCTGCCAGACGTTCCCATCAAACCTTCACAATACATTTGGGTCTGCCAGATCTGACCGGCATCCTCCCCCACCATCGGAGCCAACTCACCACCAGGTAGTGATCAGTGGACAGCTCCGCCCCTCTCTTCATCTGAGTGTCCAAGACATGTGGCCGCAGATCAGATGAAACGACGACAAAGTCGATCATCGAACTGCGGCCTTGGGTGTCCTGGTGCCAAGAGCACATATAGACACCCTTATGCTTGAACATGGTGTTCGTTATGGACAATCCATGATGAGCACATAAGTCCAACAACATAACACCACTCGGGTTCAGATCAGGGGGGCTGTTCCTCCCAACCACACCCCTCCAGGTCTCACTGTCATTGCCCATGTGAGCATTGAAGTCCCCCTGCAGAACAAGGGAGTCCCTAGGAGGTGCACTTTCCAGTACCCCCTCTAAGGACTCCAAAAAGGGTGGATAATCTGAACTGCCGTTTGGTGCATAAGCACAAACGACAGTCAAAACCCATCCCCCCACATGTAGGCGGAGGGAGGCCACCCTTTCATTCACCGGGGTGAACCCCAACACACAGGCACCAAGATGGGGGGCAATAAGTATGCTCACTCCTGCTTGGCGCCTCTCACCAGGGGCAACTCCAGAGTGGAAGAATGTCCAACCTCTCTCAAGGAAACTGGTTCCAGAGCCAGAGCCATGTGTAGAGGTGAGTCCGACTATTTCTAGCCGGAACCTCACAACCTCACACACCAGCTCAGGCTCCTTCCCTACCAGTGAGGTGGCATTCCACATCCCAATAGCCAGCTTCTGTAGCCGAGGATCAGACCGCCAGGGTCCCCACCCTCGGCCACCACCCATCCCACGTTGCACCCGACCCCTTTGGCCCCTCCCACAGGTGGTGAGCCCATGGGAAGTGTGTCTGCTCAGAGGTTGTAAAAATATCCATTTATTGTCTGTGTAACAACTTTAGAAAATATGCTTTTATTTTTAATTATTATGTTTGAAATATCACCAAATCCTGAAGAACCCTCATTTTGGTTATGTTTGAAGAGTTTTCTTTAACATATTATGTTAAAAACTAAAATCTGTACTGTCACTTTAAGAGCGCTTCATTATGATGTCAGTACTGTGTGCGTGCGGCAGCTCTCTTTTGGCAGCACAGATATCATATAAACACTTTTATATAATATCTATGGTTGCCAGTGTCATGATCTGTTACGGAAGCACGATCCGTAGTGTAGCTCATTTTCGCATGTGCTAAAAGGAATACTTCCGGATCACATGGATTGCCATTGAATATGCTAGATTAAGGAAAATGTACTGGTATAATTCTATTTATGAATAAGAACAGTCTTAATTTACTTAGAAAAGTACGTGCTCCGTCTCCACTGATTTTCATGTTGCTTATTTATTCCACTCGTATTTCCGTTAAAATCATTGACATATTTACGTCATGGTTTAAATGATATGTAGCTTCACCACTGAGCGGCGCTGTTTCACCATGGAAATTATTCATTCTGTATCTTGCAGGATTTTTCTCATTCAGTCCAGGCTGGGGGTCAGGTCTAATGTGTAGCATATCATCTTAACAAATGATTTGCAACGGAAATACGAGTGGCGTAAATTAGCTACATGGGGGCTCAGATTGACTAGGAAGTAAGAGGGGGGTCTTTGAGGAAAATAGGTTGGGAACCACTGAATTAGACCTTTGATTCAAAGCCATTTGATATTCGTTAACTTTTGTCATGCATAATTTTCACCATATATATCACAGATTATTATTTTTATAATAAAATACCAACTGAATTTGTGAATATTTTGGCTTATCTGTGTGTATTAATTGATTTGATCCCCTTTAAACAAAAGAGTTCACGTTCAATTTACATTTTTTGGGGGTAAATAAAGACTGGTTTTCTTCTCTAAGAGAGAGGTGGTGCCCAAAAAAACGAGGTTATTTGCATAAACATGCATATTTTATGAACTTAACTCATAACTGATAATCAAGCCATATATTTACACCCCATGCCACTACACTTGCACACCTGTATTGCGAGCCGCTGGTTTAGTGTTACGTCAGTGCCGACAGGGGGAATGCGTGCAATTCGTTAGACAGGGTGCTCGGTTCTGTTGATGGGGTGGCGCGTCCCGCTTGTATAATGGTAGGGGGAAAAAACTTATATCTAATCTTTTCCAGTTGAACATGACACATGACTTCTCTTATCCAGTCTTCGTATGCTGGGGGATGCTAATCCTTCCATCTACATAAAATAAGTCTCCTGGCTAGAAGAGAGTCAACAGTAATCCTATTCCTCTTGCACTTGCTAAAGGATGCATCCACAGGGGCCATCCCAAACAATGAAATGAATGGTGAAGGGTACACAGTTTTTCCACATATCACAGAGAAAGTATCAAAAATAAATTCCCAATAGTTCCATAGCTTTGGACAAGTCCAGAATGTGTGTAAGAGCATAGCTTGAGTTTGGTTACTCTGGTTACATGCAGGATCCAGGTCAGTTTTAATTTTGGACAGCTTATCTTTGGTGCAACATCTTGAAATGAATTATAGCATGTCTCAGACTGACTGAGACTAATATGGATTCTCAAGTCCATTTCCCATTTCAGTTTAAGAGAGTCCAAGTTGGTCTCATGGTATGAATGTTACTGTTTTTTCTAAGCTTGCTTTCTAGTCTGCATTTTTGTCTGCCTATCGTATTAGAAATGCTGCCGAGACCTAACTAACTGTTTAGCTTGAGGATTTGAAATGGAAACAAGAAAAAAAATAGTTACCTAAGAAGATAAATATTTATAATATTGTGTCTACATTGTTTTATAATGGTAACAATAGAAACATACTTGACTGACAGACATAAAAAACAGGTTAAATGTTGCAATTAAACAGTTAACCTGTAGACAGGTGTGGTGCACCTGCCCATGTACTGTATGTCAGGTACCTCGTTGTTTAGGTCTCTCTCCAAGAAGTGCTGCGCCACATGAGTCGGCAGTATGTTGAGCAGCAGACACTCGTTGTGCTCCCTCTGCTCCTTCATGTCCTCTACTTCCTTCCTCGCCTGCAGGCGCCACAGGAAGTCCAGCCGTGCCGTCGCCTCCAGCTACCAACAAAGAGCCATAGACAGTGATGAGTTTTATTTGTCTTGAAATAAACAGGAGTTTCAAGGATCTCACCTGTCTGCTGTTGTAGAGGACGGCCACGACAAACATCACCATGAGAAACAGACAGGCGCCCCTCCTGCACAGGTGATGAGAGCTGACCCCAGATCAGATCCAAAGGGAAGAAAGAAAACATACATGAGACAGGAAGCAGCTTAAAGAATCATCCTACAGCACCTGAACACAGCGCTCAGGCCTCACAGCATCTGAATGCAGTGCTCGAGTCCCACAGCACTTGAACGCAGCATTTGGGCCCCACACCTCAACTCAGCTCTCAGGTTCCGCAGCACCTGAACACAGCCCTTGAACTCTCTCAATCCAAAGCACCTCAACGCAATGCTTGGGTCCCGCAGCACCTGAACACGGCAATTGGGTACTTGGTTCCCAAAGCACCTAATTTTAATGCTCTGGTTCTGCAGCACCTGAATGCAGCGCTTCATACCTGTGCATCTCGATGATGTAGGTGTACGAGATGGCAGCCAGCAGCAGGAACGCCAGCTGCAACACGCAGCTCAGCCGAAGGAAGACCGCGCAGGTAACCATGGCAACCACGCAGCTCACCACCATGTACTGTGAACGAAGAAGGTCAAAGTTTACTGTCACAGGGGAGGGCATGAAGTAACGTTCAGGGTGTGCAGGACAAATGTTTTCTCACCTCTGGGTGGGTGCAGATGTCAATGTCAGGCCAGGTGGAGGTGGGTGGAGCCAGCAGGGACTCGCCACCACCAGAGTTTGATGAATCACACCACAGCTAGAAGGAGAAAGGAAGGGAAGAAGGAAATAAAGAAGAAAACGTCAAAATGTTTCCCAGAAAAATTTTGGGTGCTTTTTTTCATAAACATTTTTTTTAATCACTAAAAGAAAAACTTTACATCTGCATTGCATGAGCACATTTTATTTTTAAGATTTTTGATGTAGTCATTTATAAAGAGACTTTATATTCATAGACTGAGCTTTATTATTTTCCCTAAGAAATTGTCAATCAATTTGACCTCCATATTCCCAGCTCCAGTTTCCCAGCATCATTGAAGATGACACAAAAATTGAAAATAGCAATAATCTTGCACTAATCTTTGACTCACAATGTCCATAGTGACGACCACAGAGTTTACTGTTATGGCGGTGAGCGTGAGCAGCGTTCGGGCATCTTTGGTTTCATGAACCCAGCAGCAGAGCGACTGCACCCTGGCAGGGCAACGTTTAAACTCCTCTCCCAGAGTCAGCAGAAGGAGCAGGGAGTAAGCACAGCCACCCAGGATTAACTGAACCACCATTGGACACAACCTGTATGTAAAACCAGAGAAAGTGACTGTTGGGTATCAACGGTCTAATGTGTCTTGTCAGGTTCTTTTGAGTTTTATGACAGAGTTAAAATCCATCAACCTGGTTTGTTTTCAGTTCTATAAAAGGTCAAACATGGATACATTTGGTGTCCTGCTTTATTTTCCAATAACCTGAGCAGGAATTCTGTAGTGTGATCATTTGAAAAGTGGAACAGTCTGAGGATTCAATTATATGCAGATGATATTGTCTTGTACAAGTAAGAAGCATGGGCTGACAGGTTATATATACATAACTGTAAATCTGCAAAAGCACACTTAAGAAGCTTGTTTGTATAATAAAACCATGTCTACTTCTTTTGCATGCTGAAATTTTTATAAAAAGCAGAAAAAACAAGATTCTTTATTAAACTAACCTATGAACATGATGGTGAGGAGCAGTTTATGTTTTAAGGCATGTGTTTAAATTTCTTCTTCATCTATAACAATATTACAGAAATTATGTAATGATTTGTCATGTTTTGCACTATTAGTGACAAGTGAATATCTTAGATCTTTTAGGGTACCGTTGGGCATTCCTTTAGCGTATACAGTATCTTAGTGTATATCTTAGATCCTTATTTACTGTTTCTTTTTACACTTTGTATTTTTGGATGTAACTGGGACCCTGTACACAATTTTGTTCCACCTCATGTAGCACATGTGATGTGAATGACAATAAAGAACCTTGAATCCTTGAATCCTTGAATGATGCTTAAACAAAACATGGCTGAACAAGCTGTTGCTGATGGATAGGTGTACCTGGGGGCAGGGATCAGAACCTGGACAGCCATCAGTAGGATGAGCAGGATGAAGGAACAAACCATGTTGGTCTTGAAGAGTTCATCTCTGATCTGAGAGTACTAAAGAAACAACAATAAAAAAGATAACCAACCTGTCTGCTGCACCTGAAAACTAGCTCTGCCCTCAACAGGAAGTTACCTTTCCTTCCATTTGAGAGTCCTTGAACACTTGGGTGAAGGTGGTGATGTGCTCCTTCCTCATTAGCTCGCTGCTTCGAACTTCCATTGCCTGACGAATTCTTTTGTTGACTTCCCGAGATCCCGAGCGCTGAGCTGCAATGTGATTGGGCAGCTGATTAAGAGAGCCATTGGTAAAAGTGGCCAATATCTATGGGAAAGAAAAGGTCAGAGAAAATGCAATATCCAGATATTTCTAATATATATGTGCACTTACAAAATTCATGCCCAGGATATCTCCAAATGGTAGCTCTGCGCTCCACGTGGTCATTTCATCGTAGCTTGGACGCCTCGCCTTCGGTGGTTGGGCTTCCTCCCGTGACGCTGGGCGGATCAGATACGTGTCTATGTTGTGTTTTCGTAAGAACTCGCTTCGGTCCTGGCCATGTCCTCGCTTTGTCTCATAGATCCCATCCAGACAGTCCAGAGTGGCCTGTGAGATATGAACCTGCCTGAGAGGAAAATATATTTTTCTAGCCACACAATGAAAACTTGAAGAAATCTCAATCAACCAAACTGAATCAAACACTAAGTGTTCTGATTTTGGGCTTCATCCAGATGTAAGTGAAGGTTAAACTTTGGCTTTTTCATATATTTTCATGTATGATCTACTTGCAAAAACAATTTCAAGTAACTGAAAATGAATCTTCAGGTAAATGCTATCTAACTTGACCTGATCCGTTTACAAGACAGTGAACTACAAAGGTACGATAGCAGCAGAGCTAGTCTTGTTTGCAGGAGTTTTCTCTGGTTTGCATAAAAATGTAAATTGATATGTCTGCTATATTAAAACTCATGGCGTCCAGAATCAGCTCTGCAGATACAGAATAAAAATTTTAAAAAAGTGTTGTGGCATTTATCACAATGTTGTCAAAGTTCACAGAAGTAGACATCCCAGCCAATTTACCCTGAAGGTCAGACTGTGCAATGCTCAAAAAGATGAACTCTATCTCAGGCTCTGCAGTCAGGTTAAAGGTCAAATATCATGACTTCTTTGGAAGAGTTGCTGGGGAGAAAAAAAAGCTTTTCTTCCAGAACCAACATGGCAGCATGACTTGGGTTTGCAAAGGTTCATCTGAATGAACCACAATACTTCTGGTTCAATGTCCTCTGAACATACAAGACCAAACGACAGATATTTCTCCAAAGTGCGCATTGCCAACTGACAATAACTGTCAGTACAATGGTGGAGCGCTGATAGTTTGGGTTACTTATTTTTGCTACTACTATGGGCTACAGTCATAGTGTTGACCATAAACACTCTTGGTAGGCCAACAGATTGTAGACTCAAATACAAGGCCATCTGTCTGACAGCTGAAACTTGGACAAAACTTGGTCATAATGCAATTATCCCAAACAAAACAGCTTGTCTGCAGCAGAACACTCAAAAACAAAAGAATCAAAGTGCTGCAATGGGCAAGTCAAAGAAGGATAAGGAGCCAATGTGTGATGGAATAAATATGATTTCATACGTCTTGTTTCTTCAATGTTCTTAACTGTGGAGTTTTACTAACCTAGACCAGTTCAACTCATGACTGGATTATCCCTTAAAAATGGATTGTAATCAACTGTCTATAAACTGCCGGTTAAGTATAATTTGATCACTGTAGTGTGAGCGATGATGATGTGAGTGTGGGAGTGTTTCGGACCCTGGCACTCCTGCAGCCTCTAGACAGTTGGCAACGTCAACATCCCAGCTCCAGATGTCAAACTGCCACTTCTGAAGGCCCAACACGCCGCAGAGTACAGAACCCGAGTGGACTCCTATCCGCATGTCTACCTCCTGCTGCAGCTCCCGGCGAACATATCTGCAACACAACACATTACTGCAACGCTCTGTGGAAACGAGAGTTGGGATGTTGGGGTTGTCCTTACCGAATGGTGCTGATCATGCTGAGACCCATCTCTACACAGCAGCGGGCGTGTCCCCTCTGTGGCTCTGGAACTCCAGAGACGCAGTAATAACAGTCCCCCAGAATCTTAATCCGTAAACACTGGTGCTTCTACACAGATAAGATGCACAGCCTTATCCTCAGACGGAAAAGTTCAACATAAAACTGATGAACACAATGTGGTTCTCAAGTTGATCTGACCTCAGCCAGCTTGTCGAAGCGCCCAAAAAGCTCATTTAGAGTTTTAACGAGTTCCTGCGCCGAGAGGATCAAAGATAGAGATGTGAAACCAATGATGTCTGCGAATAGGATGCTACAGAAACAAACAACGTCCAAATCATTGCTCTGACATTTTTATCATTCATCAACTGTCCACATTGCTGGTTAAACAATCGGAAGAACTGCTTATCAGAACATTCTGTACCTGACATTTTTATAGTGATGGATGTAAATCTTATGAAACTGATGAGGCAACAGATAGTCATCTGCGGTTGTCATGTCAGAGATCATCTCCAGAACCAGGAAGCGGGGAAGGATGGACATCACCAGCCGCTCCTGAAAACACCATGAAGCGGGTACATAAATGAAAATTGCTTGAGGTGTTTTGACTAACTATGGGTTCTGACTGGAGGTGAGATCTGGACTCAACCTGTCTGTAGTTTTCCCTCTCCAGTCGTACACGTCCTTCGATGCAGCGCCGGGTTTCCAGGAAGCTCTGCCGCTGAGTCCGATCAGATAGATAGTTGATGAACACACCTGCCATGTTCACAGACAAGTACAGCAAGGCCTTCGACATCACCTGCATAGGCAGAGACAGACTGTCTTCTGTACAATAAAACAGTCATCTGCACAGATTAAACCAGACTGATCATCACCTGTACAGGTAAAACGAAGAAAAAGAAAAGCCTCCAAACCTTTCTCATGAAAATCTCGTCGCTGTAGTTTCTGCTGACGTCCACTATGAGATGCAGGGTTGAAGTAGTTGCCCCAGCAACAATGGACCAAAGTAAGGGGAGGGGCAGCAGGGTATAGGTGGAGAAAAGTGTGAAAAAGACATACCAGGTGTGATTTGTTTCAGTCCAGGTGAAAACACCAACCAACACCTGGATGGTCTGAGATGCCCAGCTAACCACCGACAGGAACCTGCGATGGAATGAATAGAATGGATTATCAGAACCTTATGGCAGCAAACAGAAATTCATTTTCCAGCATACCTGAGCCCCCATGGTGACATCATCACCTCTTTCTTAGCCAACGACATCAGGAAAATTCCCATCCACAGGATAACCGTCAAGACCGTCAGCCAGTCACAGGCCATGCTCCCCCAGCCAGTCGGCCTTGTTAGTAGAGAGACGAAGAGTCGGGTTAGGATGTCGATGAGGTTGGTGACAACCAGCGAGGTTCTTCTCTGAGCTGAGGAAAACTGCTGGTAGAGCTGCTCGAACTCCTCAGACCTTAAGCATTTGAACCACAACTGTTATTAAACACTTAGCCAGTGTTTTATTTGAATTGATTTTCATGCAGATTTGTTTGTTCATCCATACTTGAATGTTAGCTTCAGAGTGGGAATGAAGACGCCTCGGACTGTTGATCCATACGACACAAAAAAGTCAGGGTCAGTAAGCAGCCGTTGCTTGGCTTGATTTTCTACAGAGATCCTCTGTGTTATTGGTTGGATGCGCGCCACAGAAGAGCGACGCTTCTGCCAAAACGTTCCACGAGAAGACTTGTTCTGAATCTGTCTGCAAGACAAAACCAAGGGAGCAATCCATGGCTAAGCTTTTCACCTGCACCGTGTCTGGTAATGACATCACGTTGTGTACCTGTTGATGTCTGCGATGTAGGCGTCTGTGACTATGATGTGGTGTCGACCCCTCTCCAGTCCTCCGGCAAGCCTCAGGGAGTACAGGTTATGTTGGTCGATGATGTTCCTGACCGCTGTCTGCCACAGCAGGTGCTTCCTCTGCAGGCCATGGTTGCAGTTTATGTTTGCACTGATGGTGATGTCACTGGTCTGTCGTGCCGCCTCGCAGTCGCCGTTTCTCAGTTCACTGTTGATGTTGGCCATGGCTACAGAGGCGGTGACAACCCTTCAACCCTTGGAGCTGCTGAGAAGCTAGCAGTATGCCTCCTGGCTCTGACGGCTTCAGAGTCAAGATGCAGAAACAAGCAAATAGATTTACAACAACAAAAATCTGCGTCAGTTTCGTAAAATTTGATTTTGCTTTCTTGTGAGGTTTTATACCAATCCAGATATAGCCTGATATTCTGACAACCAAAGTTCTTCTTTGGAATCTGGTATTTTCTTTTATAATAATGCAAGCCAATCTTTTACTGTTTTTTGTTTGTTTGTTTTTGTTCCTGAATCCTTGCGACGCTCTGACTTATTCTCCGGAACATCAAACATCTTTTTAGAAACGACATGGAAGTGTGAAATTCACCAACATCTATAGGGGTGGCCATGATGAAAACATAGAAGGAAGAAAAGCATGCTGGGTAATATAGGTAACCTAGAATAAGCTAAGTCATTTGTTGCCATGGGGTTGAGAAGCAGAAAGATGAAGAGCAGCCTACAGCACATCAGGCAGAAACACAGTAAAAAGTAAGTCTCAGACAAACAGTCTCTGTGTGAAAACTATAAGTTGGATCAGAAACTTCTTGACTCGCGAGTGGAAGAAGGTTCTCATGGTCTCATATGTTCATTTCTGTTTCTGTAGTGTTTGATGGCAGGGATTTGACAAGTAAAAAAGAGCCCTCCCTTTTAGAAAAGACAATTCTGAGCTCGGATACAATGGAAGTTATTTAGAGTTTGGGTGTGTACTCTGAACTCTGGGGTATTTGAAATAAACCCATCAGTACAGTAGAAAGACACACTGCGTGAAAGAAGATAAAAATACTGAAGTTTGGTTGTAGAAGCTGTGGAAAGGTTGTGGAAATTAAGAGTTTAAAATGTTGCAAAGTTTAAAAAGCTTTAAAAGTTCTGTTGTAAAGTCTGAGCTCTTAAAGCTGGAATTTATCACCCACTTCAGCTAAACACCACTGATGCCTATGAGGACGTTGTCACAATTTTTAGTGAATTTTTTCTACGCTCAGTGATCTGCCAACTGATCCTGATCGAGATGCAGGTTTTGATGTATTTTATAGGAAACAGAAGAAAATTTCTAAGAAGAAAGACTTAAATAAAACTGTTTCAATCCTTATGAGCTGCTACCTTTAACTACCGGGGTCTTAAAGGCTGCTTCTTTACCTCCTGGTTGTGGTTAGGTGTTCAGGACTTTATGGATTTTGTTCGGAACGATTTTTAGATCCGAGGGTTCAAAAAGATGCAAATTGAAGAATCAAAGAGTTTATTGTGATGAATGACCATTTGTTGTACTCACTGATTTCATTCAGGCTTTAACTGACGCCGTGAGAACGCCTCCTCCAATTTATTTCTTCATCGTCTTCTACTGATTGATCTTTTTTATCCCAGTTTCCTATTGTTTGTGGCTTTTCATATCCTGGTTTATGATTTGGTCCTTTTGTCCCTTTTCAGGCCACATCAGATTTCTTCAAGTTTCTTTCTCATAGCTCCTTATAAGCCGTTCGCTTGAAAAATCGGTTTAAATGAAATGTTTCTCCCAGTCGGAAAAATGCTTGCTTCAAGTTTCTTTGTCGCATTTCTATCCCAGAGCTTTTGCGTATTGACGGGTTTGTTCATCCAAAACCAGTGTCCAGTCTTCCCTGCTGTGGTTGAAAATTAAAAAAAATCAACAAAGCTTGTCAGGTCGTAGCTGCCGGGGTTAATAAAGGGTTCCTGGTATTACCGACATCAGAAACTGAGAAGAAAATTAAAGAGCTACAAGAAAGGGAGCATAGAGTCAGACGGAGGAGCAGCAGCTTGAAGGAATGATCTGATGTCAACCAACAGATGTCCGAGTGCACTGGTAATCCCATCAGGTACGCTTGAAACAGACAAAAGGCCAGTCATTAATGGGTCAGGTTAACCATGTGGCGTGTCTGACTGCTCAGGTGCCTGATGGGATTGGCAGACCTCCAAGCAGGTCAGACTGTTGGTGTGTTTGCTCTCAGCGTGACAGGAGGTAAACCCTCACAGATTGTAGTGTATGTGAGAAGATAGCCCGCTGTGATCTGCTTAGGGAAGTCCCAATGATTTCAGCATAAGAGAACTGGGACGAAGCTGGTTACTGTGGCACCATCTGGTGGTACAACGCCAGGGATCACAAGGTATGTTTCAGGGAAACGTGCTGATGACTGAATGTCGTTCTCAGGAGTCGAACCACATTCTGCAGATACTTCAGGAAGTATTCAGACCTTCACTTATCGCAGGATGGTTATGTTGCAGTTGGATGGTACAATTTATTATATTTCTTCATTAATCTACACGTAATACCCCACAAAAAGTTAAAAAATACAAATCAGAATTCATGTGTTAGAAAATAAAACTCATTTCCGTTAGTCTTCAGACCGTTAGCCTAGAGATGAAGCACCTTTGACACCGATTTCCACCTGGAGTCTTTTTCGTTTTGATGCTCCGACCTTTGCATTTGGAGGACTACCGGTACATTTTTCTAAAATGATCTGTTTCTCAACCCAATTGAATGAGAACTGTCACTGGAGCCATTTTCAGGTCTCTCCAGAGATGTGTTCTGGGGTTCAAGCCAGGGGTCCGGAGTGTCTTCTTCATGTTGGAAGAGGAAACTTTGGTCTGAGCTCCAAAGAACCAGACTTCTATTACCTTCAGCTGAAAACCACCTCTACAGCATAATGCTGCCACCTCTGTGGGGATGGTGTTTAGATGCTGAGTAGCACCTGCTTTCCTCCACAGACCTGAGCCCAAACAGTTCAGTTTTGGTTTTATCAGACTGGGACGTACTTTTGTCTTGTTTTATGCAAGATCTCTGAAGCTCAGTCAGCCATGCGGTGGTTGGTCTCATATCAGCTCAGTGTGGCCAAAGGACCAGTTTTTAAGAGTCCTGGTTGGTTCAAACTCATGGAGTCCACTGAGCTGAGGAACCTTCGGAGCAACAGGAAGGTTTCTGAAAGGATGGGGTAGAGGTAGGGCAGCTGACCTGGGGTCAGAAAGCCGTGGTTCGACTCCCAGCCAGTCCCACGACACGGTGTCTCTGAGCAAGACACCTAATCCCTAACCGCTCCCCGGGTGCTTTCATAACCACCCACTGCTCCACCTGGGTGTATCCAAGGTGCAGTGGTGTAGTCTACATTGTTGTAGTGGGTATACTGTGCTTAGAAACCAATGTACACCTGTTAGTACACTGTAATCGTCAATTAATTTAGATTTTTAAGCATATTGAACATCTCGACATTTCTCTGATGTTTGAATAAATGAACAACAAACTTTGTACAACAGTTGGCTTTGTATTAAAAACATGTTATAGAATGTATAAAACCGTATCAAAGCAAAACATGTTCAAGTATTAAGTAGTAAGTACAGATACATTTGCTGGATAAGCTAATGTAAGAACATACAGATAATTATAGAAGCATGTAACTGCCGTTTAACCTATCAACGACACGTGTCTAATATGTCATGTATCATTGGGCACTTTTAAGTGAATATACTGAAATTCTTGAGCTTTTCTAGTGGGTATACTCCGTATACACGCGTATAGCGTAAACTACACCATTGCCCAGGTGTGAAGGGTTAAATGCAGAGTAATTTCACTATGTTCCCATGCAATGGTGATAATCTCAGACTTTTCCCTTTCTGTACCTGTCCTCAGGTGCCTGACAAGTCCCGTCTATAAAGAACAATCCCACATCTTGATGCTGCCACCACCGTGCCTTAAAGTTCCGAGTACATTATTGAGGGAAAATCCCTTTAAACAGTGAAAGCCTCAACAGAAACCTGTGAAGTAGGTCTGAATACATTTTGAAGAGTGAAATATTTCATTTGAAACCTTTAACTATCGTGTTTATTTACAAACCAACAAAACAGGATCAGTTTGTTTCACAGTAAAAACTTTTTTGGCAATGACAAAATACAGACGAAGTCAAGACGTTGGAGTTCAGGCTGTTTTTATTCATTCACATACAGACATGTAAAAATATAAAACTATAAGAACTGATGCTGTTTGTGTTTGATAAAAAGTCGGGAAATGTTTCCTTTTTATCTTCGTCGTGTAAACGTTCACTTTAAGGGTGACAACATGCAAAAACAGACCTTTTGATTTATTATGACATAAATCTGTAATATGTGCAAAAAGTTCCAAACTGGAGGAGAAATAAATTATTTAGTGTCTGATTAATTATATTGTAAACATTTTCTGGAAACAGGATGAGAAATTTACATCTTAACTTGTTTTAAATCAGTTTTATGGAATTGTAGATTTAGGTTCAAATAAAACTTGGTTTTATTTCGACAGTGCTAATTTTAATAATCTGAGATGTTTAAAAGTCAAGATTCAAAAAAACTAAATTTGAAGCATTAAACTCACAGTTTGAGAAGAAAACTCAGTTTAAAGGTTTTTTTTAATAGGAATATGAAAAACATATTTACGTGAAAATTAAGTCACTTAAGAGAAAAAAAGTGCAATTTTTTTTTTAAACTTTAATATGAGGCACAAAAACAAATAATTGTTTATGGGACAAACTTGTTGTAAATGAGATAAAAGCATTTAAAACGAAAAGAATATTTTTGTTGCACAACTTTGGCAGTTTGAAGACATTAATTTAAAACTTGAAGTTATAATTTAAGAAAAAAATAATAATTTGGCTGCAAAAAAGTTAAAACGTTAAATGTATTTACCAAGAAAATGCTTAATTTGTTATTCTAAAAAAAGAATAGTTTGAATCCACAATCTAAAATATAATGGTTAAAATACAGATGATCAAAGTCAGGGGAATATAATCTGAAGGAATAAATAAAAAAAAAAAAAATAAATTCAGGGAGAAAAGCTGGATTTTAAAGTTTTATAGAAATTAATTCCATGGAAACAAATTACACTTGATATATTAAACTAAAAAGAAAATAAATTTACAAGAGTTTAGGTGAGAAATGTTATTTTGATGTGAACAAACGAAAGGGCAGCTGATTGGTTCCCGTCAGACAGGAAGTTGTTTCTGTTCCTTCAGTTTAAAACGAGTAAATAAATATTCAACATGCATTTTCATGACATCACATATTTAATCTGCAGCCATTTGGAGACTTTAGGATTATTTTATTTACAAAAGCTTCACAAGCTGATTTAGTGTCGTTTAACTGTAAACTGAGGGAACCTTTCAAAGTAAAAGTCCTCTCGGATAGCATTTAATTTCGGTAATAAACTGTTCAACTCATTGAGTCGGGGTGAGTTTCTCTAAGTTAAATGATGAAATTTGACACAATGCTAATAAATAAATAAACATTCACACACAGAGCAACAGGATTTTAAATTTCTAAAAGTCAAAACTGAGCCGACTTCATTTTATCCACATTTAAATTTAAAAACTAATTATTATAATTATTTAGAAATTAATGTACCCGTTCTGTTTAAAAACTGTCAGTTTAGTGGAATTCTTTATTTAAACTTAATAATTTATCTTAATTTAAAAAATTTTACACACAAATTTAAAAACAAATGTTAAAATTTAGTGTTTATATACTTAATTTATTATTTGATTTAATTTAGTGTTTTTATATTTTTGCTGAAAGTTCACAATTTTTATATTAATTCATATTATTTCACAAAATTCAAATAGTGATGTGGGATTTTTTTTTTTTTTGGCCCAATCCAATTGTTTCCTAAAAATCATTTATTTAAATTAGTTTAAATAATGTCACATTTAAATATTTTTTATTTGTGTCTAAAAGTCATGTTTTTTATTTTATTTTTTATTATTATTTAGTTTAATTTTTAATGTTGCAGTACAAGCCAAAATGTATGACAAATATAAATATTTATTATTAAATAAAACTAATTTTAACATAATTTATTTCTCTTTGAAGTTAAAAGGAAAACAAATTACTGACATATTTAGCAATTTAAAAAAAAAACTTTTTAAACTTTTATTTTACCAAGTGAAAAGTTTGAGAATCATTATCATGACCTGATTAATTAAATGCAGGTGTGATGCTTCGGGTCAAACAGCTGCTGATTGGTTAAAGTCAAACAGGAAGTGGCTGATGCTAACGAGTCAATCGTCTCTTCTTCAGTTTCAGCTCTTCACCCTGATGCCCCCTCTTCCTCCAAACACCCAACAGATCAATAAATATGTTTGTCAGGTTGGTAAACAGCAATAACATGGCACACGAGACGTAAACGCTGAATAAATAAATAAATAAACACTGTGGTTCCTCGGTCTGTGCGTGCTCCTCTCCATCATTTAATGTTCTTAAGCAGCGACGTGCGAGCGTTCACCACTGCCTTGAAGGCGTCCTCGCTGCCAGGCGCCACACACTTGTCCGGGTGCAGCAGGACCGCCAACTTCCTGTACGCCTTGTTCACTTCCTCCCTGGAAACAAACATGTAGGAGACGGACTTTTTATTGGAGCTGCTCTAATAAACTAATGGACTGGACTGTTGCGATGGTTTATCTTCAGCCGATCCAAAATGCTGCTGAGAGTCTTAACTATAGGATTTATCCAAAATGAAAATCTTAATCCCAGTCTTAAAACTGGACAATGTGTCAGCCTCATGGACAGAAACTGGAAGTTGGTTTCCGCAAGAGAGGAGCCTGATAACTGAAAGATCTTCCTCCCATTCTGCTTTTGGAAACTCTAGGAACCTCGAGTAAGCCTGCAATCTGAGAGCAAAGTGCTCTGTTAGGAAAATATGGAACAACAAGATCTCAAATACTAGAAAGTTCCTGGAGAAACTTTGATGGGGACTGCCTATTTATTATTACATTATTAATAATAATAAATATTAATAATAAATTATTAATATATTGTCCATCTATTAATTATAAAAAACTATTAATATATTTGATAAATATATTAATATTAATAATTAATATTAAATCTCAAGTATTACTATTGGTAATTGTTGACGTTATTATTTGTAATTATTAAAACAAATAATTAATAATTTGTTAATTATTTTTTCTATTTAATAATAATAATAATAATGGGTGACTTCCATGCATGTTGAACCAAAATGGCTCCCAACGTTACTCAGTTTCTTTGAAAAGTTTTGTCCTATTCATTTCCTATGGGAAATTTGTCATTTTTGTTAGCAAAATATGTCGCCATGGTTACGCCAATTGCCAATAAAAGTAATAGCACACATCTCGGAGCCGGGCCGGTCCTTTGGATATAACTTTTGTGGGGGTCCACTTTGTGGTTTGGTCCACATTAAAGTTGAAAAAGATACGCTTTTCAGGTGTAGAATAATGAGTGGGCAGTCACCAACTAGTTCCTGGAGTTGGTGAAATATTGCGTCTTTGTTCGCAAATTACGTCGCCATGGTAACTTGAAATGCCAATAAAAGTAATAGCACACATCACGGGGCCGAGCTGGTCGTTTTGATAGAACTTTTGTGGGGGTAGACATTGTGGTTCGGGCCACATTAACGGAGATAGAAATGTAGATTCACTTCCGAGGTGTAGAACAGTCCCCAATAAGATGGAGCTAGGTTGTTGAGAGCTTTGTAGGTTAGAAGTAAGATTTTGAATTCAATTCTGGATTTGACAGAGAGCCCGAAGCTAAAACTGGATATATGATCTCTCCCACTAACTCTCATGAAGAAAACACAAGTCAACAATAGCAATGAACATGGTGCTCGTCTGCTCACACAGACTCATGTTCGTGCTGCTGTTCGGCGTATTGTTTTTATGCTACTAGTGCTTAGTGTATATTTAGGTGATGTTTTTCTTAGTTCATATCTTAGATCTTATTACTGTTTTTCTTTGACATTTTACTGTTGGATGTAACTGGGACCCTGTGTACATAATTTTGTTCTGTCCCATGTACCACATGGGGTGCGAATGACAAATAAAGAACCTTGAACACCAAAGTCCATGCGCAACAATGAATATGCTGTAATATGTGTACGGATGAAGATGCCCCCCCTTCACATTTCCGCCTGCCCCCTCATGTTACCATGCCTAGAACCACCCCTGCTTAGATGCTCCTACTTCCTTTACCGCGGCCGATGATGATCAGCTGATCCATCTGATGTTAACAGGACTTTTTTTTTTTTTTTTTAACCTCTACCAGCCGGTCGGACCTGCCTCCTCCTCAACAAGTAGATTAACACAATATTATTCGTAAAACCGCACCAAAAGAAGCCCGAGCCAACATGCACAATTACTGCGTAATGCGCCAGCACGTTTTAAAAAATGTACTGGCTGTGCTGGCGTATTGTTGTAACTAGGAATGCGCGATATATACGGTAGAAACGATAGAAATTTAGCCTACGATAGAGATCGGTCTTCTACCGGCTAACCGCAGTAATGCTGTGTCTGAAGTAAAATCGGAGCTGTCAGATTTAATCGTTACTTTTTTTGAGTTGAAAACTGTGCGCAAATGGCGTTAAAAGTCTTTTCTTTGAGGGCTAAGTAGCGAAGCTACAAGCTAACTACGCCCGGCTTGCCGTAGTGTTGCCGTATTCTGACGCATGCGCAACACGCTGTGTTCCGTCAAAAGTTTTTTTTTTCCCGTCGAAAGTTAAAAGCGTTGATCAGCTTTAGAGAAACCTGCTCTCTGATCTGTGAAAAGAACGCTGTGTTGTGTGATTTTACTGCGAGACCCTCTGGTCAAAGCCACAGTCGTTTTGTGTCAGCTCTCCATTAAAGCGGAAGGAGGCGCCCACTAGAGGGTTGGAGGGTGAAGTGTTTTCAGTTGCTGCTCGGTTGCTCAAGTAAGACTGGAAACTGTTAAGAGTTAACAACATGTTTTTTTGTTTAAAACATATGGCTAAAACTACATTTCATATCTTTTGCACTACAAGAAAGAAGCCTAATACTTGATTTGTTTATTATTTAAAAACACTCTGGACCCAGTAGAGGAATTTTCTTAATTTAAAATAAATGATGGCAAAAGGACACCCTATGCTTTTTTTTTAGCAAGTTTTATACCAAAAACATATTGCGATATATATCGTTATCGCCACCCTTCACAATACATATCGTGATATGAATTTTATGCCATATCGCACATTCCTAGTTGTAACCTGTCATCACGAGAGCCACCAATAAAGCATGGCGAGGGGCATGTGGCTCGGGAGCCACGCGATGAGTATCCCCGTGCCAAAGGTTTCTTCCTCATGAGGGAGTTTTTCCTTTCCACTGTCACCTTCATGTTTGCTCAGGATGAGCGTCTGCGATGGAGTTAAACTCAAAGCAGTCTGCTCCTCACATAAATAATGTTAAATTATTATTTTACATATGAATGTTTCTGTTCAGTGCCTTGAGACGACTTCTGTTGACTTGGCGCTATAAAAATAAACTGAATTGAATTAATAAAAAGCAGCAGGTTTAATAAATCTATCTGAGCGTTTACTCACCGGGTGGCACCGGGTTTCACGCCCAACATGTCCCATGAGTCCTTGCTGTTGCGGATGCGTCGAATAGTGTCGGCCTGCTCCTTGGTGAAGCCCACGCTGACCTCCGACACTGGGCGCTTCCCGCCGTTCTCGCACATGTCCGTGATGGAGGAGAAGAAGGCCTGCGGACGACACGACGCTCAGTTTCTCCTGCGCGTTTGGCGTACGTGCGCCTGCGTGTGAGAGTTGTACCTGGAACATCTCGTTGATGCCCTCGCCGCTTTGCGCCGACGTCTCAAAGTAATGAAACCCTCTGGACTCCGCCCACAGACGGCCCTCCCCCTCGTCCACCACCCGTCTCTTGGTCAGGTCCACCTGCACGCACCCAACACAGCAGAGATGCACCTCGGGGTTTTTTTTGTTTGTTTCAGCATTTCGAGAGCGGAGAAGCGTTTCGTGGGGAGTCGTCACACCTTGTTGGCGCAGACGATGAAGACGATGCTGTCCATGTTGGCCTGAGAGCCCATTTCCTGTTTCATCTCTGCCAGCCAGCTGTCGAGGGCGTCGAAGCTCTCCCTGAGGCCAACGTCGTACACCAGCAGCACGCCCTGACTGTCCTTGTAAAATTCATTTCGTACCTGAAACAGGAGAACAGATGGGCTGCAGCGGCGCCACCTGCTGGAGGCCCGAAGCATGCTGGGAACTGAAGCCTCACCTCGTAAAAGAATGGATGACCGGCCATGTCGAAGATGTTCACTTTGATTTCTCGGTCTCTGACCTGCACTCTGACATAAAGAAAAAACATGAATACTACATTGCTCCGCGCACACAACCCTGCTGAGCGGCGAGTGGGACTCACTTTGTGACGCCATAGTCGATGCCGATTGTCGCCAGGTACTTTGGAACAAAGCGCTTCTCGCAGTAACGTTTAATGATGCAGCTCTGAGGACGAAAGCATGTTTTTAATCACTTCCCGTGTTTCAAAAGTGTCACTTTTTTATCTGAATTTAGCTGGTTGGGGGAAAGGCTTTCAGCGCCAGGAGTCAAAAACCTGGGTTTTGGTTCAAATTAATCTAAAAATCCTGCTTTTCTTGCAAAACAACACATCTTGTGTTATTATTGTGTAAACGCTGAGTTAGCTTTTTCAAAATTTATTTACTACTGTCGGCTTTATGGCATATAACTTTGTCTGCACAGTCTGTGCTATTTTAGCCGTTCGTATATAAAAAATGTTCAGCTCATTCAGGAGACGGGTGCTGTGACTTTTGGTTTTTGTAACAGTTACACTTTTTCAAAATATTTAACTTTATTGACAACCATTGAGCCCAATAAATACATTCAAATATCAACTTTTTAAAAGCATTACTTCTAAGTATAGCACGTTTACGTTACTAATGACGGGGCGGCTGTGGCTGAGTGGTTAGAGCAGTCGTCCTCCAATGCAAGAGTTTGACTCCACCAGCAGTCACATGCTGAAGTGTCCCTGGGCAACACACTGAACCCCTCATTGTCTACCATACAATACCATTTTATTTATAGAGCACTTAAAACAGCAACAAGGCCAACCAAAGTGCTGTACAGACAGAACAACAGGCAACACACAAAGCAAAATACAAAATGAGGTAAATCAGAATAAAGACATAAAAACGATGCAGATAATGACGACAAACCAGTGTGGAGCATACAGGATCAAAACACAGATCATCTGGTGTTGAAAGCTATTGAATAGTAGTGAGTTTTTAAACGGGACTTGAAAACCGAGAGGGAGGGGGCCTGTCTGACAAGCAGAGGTAACTCGTTCCAAAGTCTTGGTCCTGCTACAGAGAAGGCCCCGGTCACCTCTGCGCTTAAGACAAGTTCCTGGAACTGTGAGGAGCAACTGGTCCGCTGACCTCAGGGAACGTGGTGGGACATCCGGCTGTAGCAGATCAGAGAGATTGGGGGGGGGGGGACTGTTCAGTGATTTGTAGACATACAGGAGTATTTTGAACTGGATTCGAAAGTGAACCGGTAACCAGTGCAGTGAGGCCAAAACTGGTGTAATGTGCTCTCTTTTGCCTGTACTGGTTACAAATTGGGCTGCTGCATTCTGGACCAGTTGTAGTCGTGCAATGGAGGTCTGACTGATACCAAACAGGAGCGAATTGCAGTAATCAAGCCTAGATGTAATGAATGCATGTATTACTGTCTCCAGGTTATTTTTGGACAATATGGGCTTCAGTTTAGACAGCCGCCTCAGTTGGAAGAAGCATGATTTAACAATCATGTTTACATGATTGTTAAGTTTCAGGGAAGGGTCCATTATCACGCCCAGATTAGTGACTCTTTGTTTTTCTGACAGGGTTAGAGCGGAGAGGTCGATGCAGTGGTTTGTGATCGTGTCATTGGGAGGGAACAACATGACTTCAGACGTCTTTTCATTGAAACTTATGAAGTTTAAAGCCATCCAGTCCCTGATGTCAGCCAGGCAGTCGAGCAGAGGTTGAATAGAGCATATACCATTGTGTCTTAGGGGGAAGTAAATTTGACAGTCATCGGCATAGAAGTGGAAGGGCATGTTGTGTTTCCGGAAAATAGCACCAAGCGGCAGCAGGTATAAAGAGAATAGGAGGGGACCCAGGATGGACCCCTGTGGAAACCCCCATTTAAGCTCTGCCGCTGCAGAACTAAATTCCTTGATGGAGACACAAAAGGATCTGTCAGTGAGGTAAGATCTGAACCAACTGAGGGCTCCGACGTGTGTCCCATCAGCGCATGAATGTGATAAAGCACTGATTATTATTTGTACAGATCTAGTAGAGTGCTGTATGAATGGGTAAATGAGGCCCAGATTGTGTTGTAAAGCACTTTGAGTATCTGGATAAGATAGAAAAGCACTATATATATATATATATATAAGTACAGTCCATTTACCATTTACTAATGCTAATACTACCAATGCTAATGCAAATTCTACTCATGGTAATTCTAGTAATGCTAATGCTTTAACTAATGCCATCAACACCAATGCTGATATTACCACTACTACTTTACTATTCATGTTCGGTAAGACTTTTGCTGTCATTAATGTATTACTACTTCCAGCTTTAAGCTAGCTTGTCACTACTTCTACGTTTTTGCCAACCTTTTGCTACTTTAAACTTTTAGCCATTTTACCTTCTGGCCTCTGCTTTAGCTGTAACCCAGTTCCAGCTTCTTCAGTCATTCAGCACTCGTTCACGCTGTGTTTGAGCAGGAAATGCATTTTCTCTGGATATTATTCATAATTTATCCATCAAATACAGGCCTAACTGAACCTTAATTATTACTGCTATTACGGCTCATAAACGACTATTAAAGATGTGTTTAGAGGAGAGTATTTTGTTTAATTAAAAATGTTCATTGATGTTGAGGTTTAATATTGTAATAACGTATTTATACTGATTATAAATATAATATACTGTATCCCGAATTGTTTTGTTACTGATAGTCTTTTTATATGTACATTTAAAGCTTCTGTACTTAAAGTATGTATTACTGATAACGAAAAATGTATATTTTTAAAAGGTAGTCTGGCGTCAAACAATACCAACGAAACCAGACATTAAAACACTCGTTTTTTTCAAAGTCAAACAGCAACAAATGTTTATTATAAACGCTCTTACGTATGTTAGTGATTATTAAGTGTTAATTATATGTAAAACATAATCTATGTATAAAGGTTTGTTGCAGCCGGACGCATCACAACTGAAAGGCACCAGACTACGTTATAATTTTGGGCTAAAACAAGCAGATTGACTCGTACCTTTCCCACCTCGGCGTTTCCGAGGCTGATCACTTTAACCCGCAGAGACTTCTTGTTGTCACGTCTTTTCGGGACGTTTGTTTCCATTTGGATTCCTATTAAATGCGGGAGTTTTGCGGTGAATATCTCTGAGCAGTAACAGCAGCTTGTTGTTTTTAGCGAGGCTAACACGGCTAGCTACCCATTAGCGATGCGGCTAGCTAACTATTAGCTCAACCCTGAAACCGAATGATTATCATGAAGTTAAATAACGACGACAGCTCACTGTTTCATTTTACTGCTGATTTTGATTTGGTTCGGCTGTCATCGTTGCGCAGATCTAAAACACAACAGTCCCACTAGCCTTGTAGCCGCATTCTTCTTCTTCGTTCCAATTCCGGCAGACTGGACATCACGCATGCGCACTGATGGTATCTAGTTTCTACCATGCCTGCGCAAAAATAATAATAATAATCTGTAGTACCAGAGCCCTATAAAGATATATAGGGCTCTTTATAGGGCTCTGTGTAGTACAGGCTGTAATACTGATAACATGAGCTCAATATTTATAATTTGTGATCAGATTTTTTTTAACTCGCTCAGGTATTCTTCCATACATACCAACTTTTCACAAGTTACCTTAACCCCCCCTCATTCCATATTTGGTCATATAATTTCCTCATAATACAACAGCTGGTCTCACCACTGTCTTGTAAACTTTTCCTTTGACCTTTGCTGACACACTTTTGTCACAAATCACGCCTGAAACTTTTCTCCATCCACTCCATCCTGCCTGGACTCTCTTCTTCACCTCTTTACCACACTCCCCATTTTCCTGGACAGTGGACAAGTACTTGAAGTCCTGCACCTTTGTGACCTCTGCTCCTTGTAGCCTCTCTGTTCCACCGGCCTCCCTCTTATTCACACATGTACTCTGTCTTACTACGGCTGACTTTCATTCCTGTTCTTTCAAATGCATACCTCCACCTCTCCAAGTTCTCTTCCACCTGTTCCCTGTTCTCACCACCGATCACAATGTCATCTGCAAACATCATAGTCCATGATGATTCCTGCCTGACCTCATCTGTTAGTCGGTCCATCACCAGAGCAAACAAGAAGGGGCTCAGAGCCGATCCTTGGTGCACTCCCACCTCCACCTTGAAGCGATCTGTCACTCCTACAGCACATCTCACCACTGTCCTGCTGTCCACGTCTAACATACTTCTCTGCCACTCCAGATCTCCTCGTGCAATAGCACACCTCCCCCCTCAGCACTCCGTCATATGCTTTTTCTAAACCAACAGAGACGCAATGTTCTTTCTGACCCTCTCTGTACTTCTCCATCAGCATCTTCAAAGCAAAGATGGCGTCCGTGTTGCTCTTTCTTGTTATGAAACCAGACTGCTGTTCACAAATCGTCACATCTGCTTCCACAACTTTCTCCCAGGTCTTCATCGTGTGGCTCATCAACTTAATTCCCCTGTAGTTGCTGCAACTCTGCACATCACCCTTGTTCTTAAAAATGGGCACCAGCACACTTCTTCTCCATTTCTCAAGCATTTGTTTCACCCTCAAATATGCCATTGAATATCTGAGTCAAAAACCTCACTGTCATCTCTCCAAGACATTTCCAAACCTCCACTGGTACGTCATCAGGTCCTACTGCCTTCCCCTTCTTCGTTCTTTTCAGAGCTTTCCGGACTTCACCCTCACTAATCTTTCCCACTCCCTGGTTTCTATGACCTCTACTCTTTTTCTCATTCATTCTTCTCACTCATGTGAAAATGTAGTTTATACCAATTTTGATTAAAAAAAAAAAAAATGAATGCTGAACTCTGCAGGCCTTTGTAAATCCACTTTTAATTTGTGGGGAAAAAAATGAATAAATATCCCACTTTGAAGCAATGAAACGCACATTTAAAATGCCTGTGACGTCATTTTTAAAAATAATAAATACGAATGCCTTTTTTGATGCTGAGATGAACAGATGTTGAGATTTTAACATGTACAGTAACAGGAAGTGATGACAAAGGGGGAACACCTGCATGTAAACAGAGTATTGCTACAATGGTTAAAAACACGGCTTCAACAAAGACCATGGAGTTCCTCTTTTAAAAGAGTTCTCTTTTTTTATGTCACTTCCTGTTTCACTTTGGCACCATGTTCAAAAGAAAACATGCCAATTATGTGGCAAAATGGGTAAAATCTTATGTATTATGCCAGATTTATTCTTCTTTCCACTTTTTGCAATTGTAGCTGTTATAGAAAACTTGTGTACTTTACCTTAAAAATAAAATGTTTTACCTTAAATATGAAATTCATATTTTCACAGTGTCTTCACAGTGGACAATGATGAATCGTGCATCTCCTGTTTATCAACATAGAAAAGTACGTCTCATATTTGACAGGTCTTGTCTAACTAGGTCTTCGTTTTAATCTACATAGAACGGAGAACATGAACAACCAGCTCCAGTTATCAGAAAACACAAACACAATGACTTTTATTCATGAGCCATTTTTCTTGTCTGTCTTGAATCATGTGCAAGAGTTATAAATGTGGACTGGACAGTTTGGCATACACCACTCCTGCAGGCTGTGTGAGAGAGCATTCTGTACAACTGGTGTCGGTATATGGTTTATTGCAATAAACAAATCCAAAGACCTTTTTTTTTTTGAGGACATCTTTTATTAATTCAGGTGTTTCTGTACAAGTTTCATTTAGATTTCCACGACAGTAGCATAAATGTCACAGGCACTTTAAAGCGTGCATAAAAATGATGCCATTTTGTTCCGTCTGTAATTGTGACTTATGTATTTAAATGTTCAACTCTTTCAGGACAATCCTGCTATGACTTTTGGTATTGGTGCAACTTTAGCTTTTTGAAATATTTGGCCTTTTCTGCCATTTTTTCTCTCTCATATAAAAGGAATTGAGCTTAATTTCCATCCTTCAACTCTCCTCTCCTTTCACATGTTGTTCTGCTTCAGCTTCTTTCAGCTGCCTTGTGCAAATTTAATACATTTTCAGCTGTTTTGGGCTCCTTTCAGCTTATTTCTGCTAAAATTTTTGAGCTTCAGCTATTTTTTTTCTACCTTTTCTACTATTTCAGCTACTATTTAGCTGGTTTATGATAATTTTAGATTTTCAGCTAATTACACATTTGTTTGCACTCATTTCAACTTTTATCGGCCGAAATCAGATAAAATGCGCTCTCTCCACTTCCTTCTGGCAATTCACGTTTCTTTCTGCCTTTCAGCTATTTTTTATCTGTTTTTTTTTTTTTTTTTTTGTTTCGGCTTTTTTTTTTCCCAGCTAATTTCCACTTTTTTGTGCTCATTTCTGTTTCTTTCTTATCTCTTCAGCAAATTTAAACTTGTTCTACATTTCGGCTAACTTTTTTCAGCTTGTTATGCTCCTTTCAGCATTTTTATCAGCTAGTTTAAGCTTTTTCTGCTATTTCAGCGACTGTTTAGCCGTTTCTGTGCTAAATTTAGCTTTTTCAGCTAATTCCACTTTTTTTTTTATCTTATTTCAGCTCCTTCCACTTCCTTCTGGTAGTTTAAGCTTCTTTCTGGATGTTCAGCTAATTTTTAGCAATTTTTTTGAGCAAATTTAAACTCTTTTTTTGAGCTAATTTCCATATATTTGTGCTAATTTCTGCTTATTTAAACCCAGCAAATATGTGTTCTTTATGCTTTCTTATGCTAACTTGAGCCGCATGTGGCCCCAGAACTACAGCTTAGACCCCTGCTTTAATTAATGCTAGGTCTTTAGTCAATGTATTTCATTTTAAATTGATTTTTTATTGTTTTCAAAGTTTTATTAACGTTAGTTTTATTATTGATGAGCTGCACTATAGGAATGAACTTTGAGTTGAATTTCAACCAACACTTTGGTGGGTTTCTGACAGGACGCTGTAATTACCTCTGTTTATAACGACTGCTAATACATTTTAGTTAAAAATTCAAAGTAAATCCATTTGAATGATGCAGAAGTGTCAACTGCTGGTGTGTTTTGTTGTTATTTTGTTCCAGCGTTTGTGAGGACTTCAGAACATTTCTGCAGACAGACTTTCACCTTCGTATCTGGAGCTCGATGTTTGATCAGCGAGTCACACGGAGACCAGATCAATGCGGATCAGCTGCAGCACTTTTTAAACCGTTAAACCCTAAAACGTGAATTTACCAGCTCGGATGACGAACCTGACCTTTGACCCTAAGCTGCAGCTCAGATGTTCTGCAGCTGCCGTTTCTATTAAATCTGTTCGCTTTAAAATCGAAACGGGCAGAAAGGCTTCAACCTTCGAGCCTCCAGAGCGAGATTTTTCTGCTTCTCTTCATAAAAACTCAAAATCTTTCATGAAATATTCATTTCATAGCTATTTTTCTAGAAGTGATACTTTTCTGACATTTTTTTTTTTTTACCTGAAACTCAGAATGTTTCTGTCGCACATGACGGGAACTCTCATCAAACACGTCCCACTCGTCAAACTTTGACCTCTGTCAATAACTCCCCCCTCCTCCCCCACAGGGATTACAGGCAGGCAGACTTTCGAGCCGACAGGACGCTGCTGCTGGTTCTGTTCTGTTAACAGGTCTGGATGATGGTGGAAGCAACGTTTAAAGGAGCTGTGGTTCTGCTGCTGTTGGTGCTGCCCGGCTGCGTGGCTCAGGATGGTACCAAACATTTCTAGGTTCACATGTATTAGTCGTGTAACGGAGCTAGGCTGCAGGACAGAATCCACTTGTTTCTGGAAAATTATTGATCAGCTTTCACTTAAATGAAAAAAAAAACGAACCTGAACTAGATTCACTTTATTTGCAAACACTTTGCAAATAAATAATTAGGTTTTAAAATTTTTCTTTAATTTTTTTGTTTGTTGTCGTTTCCCGAACAGGTGAAAAACAGAGTTTCAAACACGGAAATTAACTCTGACCGTTTTGAAGTCGAGTCTGTGACAGCTCATCGTCGTTCTCGTCTTTTTATTTCCAGTTTTTCTCAACAGCCAGCATGCGTCGCAGCTTTTGGTCCGAAGCAGACGAGCCAATCATTTATTCGAAGAGATGAAACCAGGTAACTAAACTCGCCTGTGACACCCGTTTGACCTCTGACCTCTGGGACAGGAGTCTGCAACCTTTACGATCAAAAGAGCCATTTTTACGCCTTCGGTCACCAAATTAAACGTGTCCAGAGCCGCAACAACCTGCTACAACTGTGGTTATCAACTGGTGGCCCATGGGCCACTTTAGGTTTGTTTGTTTGACTTTTTTGCCTGTAGGGGTGACATTTTTAAAGTTAAAAATATCTAATGATTTTTAACATTTAATATTTTTACAATTGGGGGAGTGGTGGCGCAGAGGTTGGAGAAGGTGGGCCTGTAATCAGAAGGTTGCCGGTTCACCTCCCTGGACTGACAGCAAAATGTGGGTGGAAAAGACCAATCAGGCACCCACACCTGTCTCCACCCTCATTTGCCCACTCTGGGCCCTTGAGCAAGGCACTTAACCCCCAGCATCTGCTGCCCTGGGTGCCCTAGATAGCAGCTCTCTGCTCCACACAGAGGGCTGTGGTTGTGTCAGGAAGGACATCCGACGTAAAAACAATCGCCAAACCTTTGTGCGAGTTAGTTCGCTGTGGCGACCCCTGAAGAAGGGAACAGCCGAAAGAAGAAAAAAAATCTGTTTGCTTATGAAAATATGTGATATTTATCTCAGCCACCATATTCCCTCCTCTCTCACGTACCTCCACTTATCCACTCTTCCACCTGCTCCCTACTCTCACTGCAGATCACAGCGCCGTCTGGAGAACCCCAGACTAAACGTCGCACAGTGAACCAGAGATGTTTGTCTGTATCTGAAAACGGAAAATGACTAAAAGACAGGATAACAGAACTCCACGAACAGGCTAAAGATGCAGCGTAGATTAGGTTTGTGTTCCTGTATTGTCTCCATGGTAACACTTTCAACATTGTTGTTTATTTCTGCGTCAGGAAACCTGGAGAGAGAATGTGTTGAAGAAGTCTGCGACTCTGAAGAAGCCAGAGAGGTGTTCGAGCAGAAAGAGAAAACTGTAAGATGTTGCTTCTCACTGCCTTTGTCACATTCAACAGATCTGAGATCAGATTAACCAGACCTGAGATCATTCATTCAATGAGCAAAACAGCTAGATTATAAGGCGGTGTAGAAAACTAAAAACAGGAACGTGTCTGCGTTGGTTCTTGCCAGGAACTTAACAGATGTTCACTTATAGAGAGGTTCAGATCTTTTTGCAAGATATTCCAGGAAACAGGAGCGGAGTAGGAGAAGGCCCTTTTGCCTAGTTCAGTCCTCACTGAGGGAACACTGCAGGTAATGATGTCCTGAGAGCGCACGCTGTAACTGCACTCACGCAGAGACATGTAGGAGATGTATGAAGGCAACAGACCAAGAAGTGATTTAAAGAAGAAAATGTACCAGTGAGAGAGTCTGTGTGAAGTTAATGATAACCAGTTAACCAGTGAATACAGGGTGCAGTGATGGGTACGGTAGTTACAGCCAGTTATGAATCTTAACGCACCGTGATAGACAGCGTCCAACATCTGCAGAGTGTTTGTAGGAGTGTTCATATAGATAACAGGGGTTGAATAGACAAATCGACTAGTCGATTCTAGATCATCTCGCGAGTTTTTATATTTCAGGTTGACTAGTCGCACCCCCCCCCCCCCCACCCCCCCCTGTTGTTCCCAACCCTATTCCACCCAATCCATGTGGTGGATTAAATAAAATAAACCTTAAAAACAATAGCAGTTTTGCAGCTTATAATAGTTTTTCTTTTCCTTTGACTTATTTGCAGTATGCTAAATGGTAGGAGCATAAATATACGCCCCATGTTTTGTTTGTTCTTTTTTTTTAAATAAATAATAAATTACTTTTTCTTATATATTTTTTTTTCTTCTTCAAATATGATAGTGTCTTGAGTTCCTATGACGTCATAGACTAGTTGAAGTCGACTCGACTTTTATCATGTTAAAGTCGACTTTTAGACATATGTAGTCGTTTAACCCCTAATAGATAATGTCACCGTAGTCAATGGAGGGAAGGAAAGTCGCAGTTACAAGGCGTTTCCTAGCATTCAGAAGTGATTTAGGTTCTGATTAAACTGATCTCAGGTCTGATTAAACTGATCTGAGAACACTTTAAACAAACTTAAAATCCATTTAACCTGATCTCAGGACAGTTTACTAGACTGGATTTTTTTTTTTTTTTTTTTTTTTTACCAGAATTGAGATTCGTTTAACCAGACCAGAGATTCTTTTTGGCCAGATATGAGATAACTTTGAGCAAACATGTGATCACGTTAACCAGACCTGGAATCAGTTTAACCAGACCTGAGATCACTTTAATCAGAACTTAAATTACTGAGATGATTTAACCAGACCAAAGATCATTTAAACCAGATCTGACATCCGTTGCAACAAACTCAAAATCATTCGCAATCACTCGAAAATCGTTTTAACCAGAACTGAGATCACTTTACACAGACCTCAAATCAGTTGCCAGATTTGTTTAACAGATCTAAAACCAATTTAACAAGACCTGAGATCTGTTTACCTCTAACACGTTTTTTTTTTCTTCTGATTTTCAGGACAAGTTCTGGGTGAATTATCTCGGTAAGTTCTGCTCAGTCGCAGCGTCTCATAGGAAAAAACTGTCGCTTGGAAACGTTCCAACTTTTATTTGTTGTTTGCTCATAATCTTGGAATAAGCTGCAGATTGTTCCTGATATTACCTGAAGTCCTGTCTGCTTTATAAAACAGAACTGTCACAGCTTTTTGAAGCTCCAGATTTCGCAAAACCCCAAAACAGTCTTAATTTCTCATCATGTCAGCTTAAGAAAAGCAACAAATCAAGTAAATCATGTTAAACCTCTCTCATGGTTGGATCAGGGGATGAGCACTGTAACTAGTTTCAACTAAAGATTTTCAGCTTTTAGTCCAATTGACTGATTAAAGAATAGGTTTGTTACTGGGCTCAGATTAACGTTTGGTTTTTACGTAACTCAGCGAGTTTATTCAGCTGCATGTCGCCTGCAAACACGAACAAAGTCCAAAAGGTCCAGAACAAACATGTAACTGCCGCTGCGTTCGTGTTCCACAGACTGCAAAGGAAAGAGCTTGGTCCGAACGCCAGACACCGTTGCCCTGGTCCGACAATGCATACAAGGTAAACACAAACATGATGTAAACAAACTGGTCACATGGTTGGTGTAAACACTGATGGTCCGGGTGTCTTCAGGACAGTGTATCTTCGGTAACGGGTTAAACTATGAAGGAGAGGTCAACATCACAAAAACGGGCAAAGTGTGTCAGCGATGGGGTTCCAACTACCCTCATCCCATCCACAGGTAACCAGTCACCACACAGTTAGCAACCAAACAGACATTATCACAAAGAAATGGACCAACCAGATAACCTAACAAGACAACTAACCGTCACAAACGTTAGCTAACAAACTCATAATTTGCTAAATTTACTTACAACTAATAAATAAAATTTCAACTACTGTATTTTTTGGCCTATAAGTTGCGGGTTTTTTTTGCATAATTTGCATGCCCTGCATTTTATAGGCCGAAGCAACGTATTTATGGATTTTCCCCCATATTTATAAACCAACTTTTGGCTGAGATATGACCGTTTTCATTCATTCTGACTGAAATAAATAAATAAATTGAACAGTACCATTTTCAACCACTGGATGGCAGCAGAGTAGTAGTAGTAAGGCATGCTGTTGTATCATGTAAAAGGCAAAAGTGGCTATAATGACAAATTCAAAAAAGTTCAAGACAAAAACAACTGCACTTTATTTATTATACTTTATTGTTTTTGTCTTGCACTTTTTTTTTTAATTTACCATGTCCTGGATGACTGCGAATCTTCACCGTCTATTAATGACACAATCGGCTTGCCATAGTCTGCCACCTTCGTTCTGCTCGCTGCTTGGAGCAACCATGAAAACCAGCTGCTCCGCCCTGGTGAAATGTAGCTAATTTGACCATTAAAGTGCATTTATTAAGCAAAAGTTCAACTGAGACGCACCTTTGCTATAATTTCGAGCAAACACATAATTGTTTTAGGTGTTTTCTTGTTAAATTTCGAAGAAATGAGCAGTGGCTCGTCCCTCTGCGTGTGCACGCTTACACGAATTGGGTTTTGAAATACATTTGATTTGACAGTCAAAGTGCGTTTATTAAGCAAAAGTTAGACTGAGACACACCTTTAATATAATTTTGAGCAAACAAATAAATGTTTTTAAGTGTTAATCTTGTTAAATTCTTGTTAAAGTCCTCCCATGCACACGCCCACGGCTGACATTTGGGCGCCCATAGATTTTTGACACAACACCGGCCCACATTTCTGGGGTCGGCCCACATTTCCGGGTTGTCAGCGGTGACGTGTAATAAACGCAACGCGTCAGCGGTGACGCATAATAGATGCGACATATACAGCAAAGCGACATATTTATAGATTTTTCCACTTTTTTAGACAAATATGGACTGATGCGACTTATAGGGCGGAGCGACTTGTATGGCAGAAAATACAGTAATAAAAAAATATTCAACTAACTAAACAATGACCACTGATCACAAATTAAAATCCTGATTAACTATTGAACTCAAAATAAACAAATATAGATTAACTAATAGACCAGGAAAGAGATGAAGTAAGCTACAGAACCAGGTCTTGAAAAATACCCATAGTTCACATCCAACTATCGAAAGTATTTACCGAACTAAAAGACAAATAAACAAAAATAGAAAAACAAATTGTGTTCACATCAACTAACAAACAATAAGTTAATGAATTAGGTGCATTTTAGTGCTGACTGCACATAAAATGTATTTTATTTGATAAAAAATAAATGCCATTTTAAAATAAATGAAACTTGTGAAAACCTTAACTGAGATGAGAGAAAACAACAAAATCAATTTACTAACCAACCAGCTTGTTCATTAACCAGCACAAAAAAGAATAAATTTAAACTCGACCTAAAAACTAACTGTTAACAACTGTAAATAAATATCCTATTACAGAAGTCCCTCGCTACTTAGCAGTTTGTTTGTCGCGGATTCACTATACCGCGGTTTTTCAAAGTAAGATTGGACATGACACACAATTGGCTGATGGATGAGCCATGGATTGTTTATTGAAAATAAATTGTTTTACATGATTTTGTACTGGTGTGCAGCCCACCAGTGCAGTGGGACACTCCCGCTTGCATTTCTCCTCCGTCCTGCAGCTCTACGTGAAAGGTTAACCAGTGGCGAGTGGTGAAATTTTCTCCAGGGGGGCTATATATATATGGGGGCCGAGATGGTGTAGAGGCAGGGCAGCCGGCTTGGGACCCGAAAGTCCCAGGTTCGATCCCCAGTCACTGCACATCACGTGGCGTCTCTGGGCAGCACGTCTCATCCCCAAAATGCCCCCCGGGCGCTTTCAATAGCTGCCCACTGCACCACCTGGTGGTGGATGGGTTAAATGCAGAGACTAATTTCGCCATTGTATGGAAACATACAGTGGTGACATTGTGATGACATTATTATTATTATAACTCCAAAATAGACATTAACCAAAACATATAACAAAACATGTAACATCACACCAGTGCATTTACATGAATTTATTTTATTAACTTTTATTTAACCAGGCAAATCCCATTGAGATCACAGATCTCATTTGCAAGGGAGGCCTGGGCCTGAAGGCAGACTATGAAATGAAAACAACAAAAGCAATTTAATTTCTCTTGCTCCATTTCACATCTCTGTCCCATCGTCTCAAGCTGCATTCAGCTTTGGGCGCAGGAGTGGTGCGCCCCAGAACGGTCCTATCTTTTGTATTGAAGAGGAGCTACTGCACATGTACAACTTTTAATGAGAGTTTATGGGCAAAGATTTTTGTGCCCCGGGGTGGAAAAACATCACCAATCAGACAACGATGGTAAACTAAACAACTTTACTCATCATTAACTATAAAATATTTATCTTACACAACTAAAACAATATATACATATATTTTGAAATGTTTTTATTTTATTATTTCATATCTATTTAAATTTTTAATGTCTTATTCAAGGTAATGTGGTGAGAGGTGAGTGGTGGGGCAGCGCCTTTGCGCCCTCGATTGGTCAGCCGCCACTTTGCTATCCTGATGCACAGATCCACTTTTGTCTTCCAACTTAAAATTCAAAGTATGTCACATCGTAAAATCATCATAATTACAAAATATAAACAAGCTAAAAGTTATTTTTTAATTATTTTAGAACTTCCATGTTCAGTTGTCACAGTGTAAATGATGAAGACATATATTTCTGCTCCGTGCTGCAGAGCTGTGTGAAGGGTTAACCCTTTAATGTCCTGCTGTGCTTCTCTTCTCTACAATTTCGATTTAAATACTGTAACATTTTAAATAAACAATTCACGCTGCATGGATTGTTTATTTAAAATGTTACAGTATTTAAATTGAAATAGTTTATTTAAGGAGGGAGGTTGGGAGTAACAGGTGAGGAGTTTGATTACAGCCTGGCACATGTCATGACAAAATTTGCAGTATTTGAACTGAACTTGGACTAGTGTATCCCTACGTTGCGGTTTTTCACTTTCCCTAACACCCGCGATAAACGAGAGACCACTGTATTATCTATTTACTCAAATAAGCCACTCTGAGGACACAAGATTTTTTTAACTGGTCTTTTTCTTGCAAGGGCAGAGTTCACAAAAGGTGAAGCTACATTCTTGGTTCCTGGTCATGAATATCTGCACCAGACAGTGAGGCAGGGAATGTTTTTATAATCCTTATCAAACAGTCAGGTGACCATGTGTAGGCTCAAACCAGCTCTGCGCATACAAAAGACTCTCTGACCTCACACACGGCTCAACATTAATTTAACATTAGTTAGTGATAAACATCCATAAACCTTTATCAAAATTCCCTTGACACTAACAAAGTGTCTGAAGTAATGAAAAGCTAACAAATCAGCCAACAGCAAAATCAATCATTCACTTAATCAATCAATCAACTAACACTACTCAGCCAGTTAACTAACCAACTGTCTTAAATTGTATTGCCCTAACTAAATTAACGTCAACAAAACAACTAACTAGTCCAAAGCCATTTCACACTGAACCATTGACGCTAATAGCCAAGTAGTTAATTGTCACAAAATGAAAAGGATACAAATTAACTAATTAACTAGTGGGCAATAAACATTTGTTATTTAAGGCAAAATGGCTAAATAACTATTATTTGGTTACCTAGTTGGACAGGTCATTTGTTAACTGACCCCTTCAGAGAGAATGTTAAGAGTCTATGCTGTTGCATCTTTCTACTGTTTTGTTTGCAGGTTTGTTTACCGGTACTTGTTTACCTGGTTGTTTACTTGTTTATCTGTCTGTGTTCAGGGAGATTAATGCTTCAGCACTGAACAGTAAGCTGCAGGAGAACTTCTGTAGGAACCCTAACGGCCATCTAGAAGGACCATGGTGTTTCACCACAGATCCAGTAGTCCAGAAAGAGACCTGCAGGGTTCCCAAATGTGGTCCGTTTCTACCAAAGCCGATTTCAAACCAGAACCACGTATTCAAGTTTCACACATATATAGAATATTTACACAGTTTGACCCCATACGTTTATTTTATTTTTTATAATAAGGTGAGGCATTCATCCCACCAACTGTAGCTCCAAGAGCGGCCACACCCACAGTGTGCTTACCTAACTATGGTGTTGACTACACTGGAGACCTGAGTGTTACCCTGAGTGGACACACCTGTCTGCAATGGTCATCACCGCAGGCCGTAGCCCTCAGCCGGGACAAACAGTTCATGCCAGAAGTGGTTCTGCAGGGCAACAAGTGCCGGAACCCAGACAACGACCCCGAGGGCCCCTGGTGCTACGTGGACATTTCTGGAAACGTGACGATCGATTACTGCAACCTGGAGCTGTGTGGTACTGTAAAAACTCACTGTCCATAAGCACATCACCTGTATACCTGCGGCTCACCTGTCTCTGTCTGCCTGCGTGTCTCAGAGGATCCCCTGATTGGTGGAGACGAATTGACCAACACCAAAGACAGGGAACGGTCGGTTTTAGTTTCTAACAAGCAACTGTTCTTCAGTCCTCGATCGTTTGGACAAGGAGAAAGTGGTGAGTTGTCTGCGTGGTTAGTACCAATAACCTCAAAACATGGGGTCAAAGTCACTTTACTGCCTGGATCATGTCTTGGTTGACTCATAGACTCTTTACAAAGTGGCTGAGAGCTCAGGTCTATAAAAACACCCTAATTCCATGAGGTTTGTTGGCTAATTTACAAGTTTACAGTGTTTTCGACTAAATTAATCATTTTAGGGCAGGGCTTAATTTGTAAACCGATTGATGCCGGAATGCAAATAGCAGGGCGGCCAGCTGGCAGGTGGAGGGTCTGGGGGCCCTCGCCCAGAAAATTTAGAACAAAGTAGATGTTATTTCTTGCATTTTGGTGTATTTTAACGGGTTGTTGAACATCTACATTTACCTACATTTGTAAACACTCCGCTTCTGTCAAGCCTACCCTCCCCACCTTGATGGTTCTGAGCCCGACTCTTCTCCACTGAATTCACTGTCCTGCTCGTTGTTATCCAACTCCACATGTGAAGTCTCCTGGCGCCTCCTCCATCTGTTCATGGCGGCTGCCTGTGTGCTCCTGCCAGAGTACGACTGCCTGGTTAGCTCTCACCCCCACCACTCGCTCACTCCTGCTTCAATCTCGACTGTCACTGCCTTAAGGTGCCTCAACTCTTGGTTGTCCAACTAAGAACAATGAGAAGCCATTCTTTTAATGAAAGTAAATTGGACTGTCTTTTTGACACTTTGATTGGTGTTATTTTGACAAATTAGCGCCGTTGTTTTGATACGTAATGTGAATAATACACATCAAACGTTTCTCTCGTTGTATTTTTAATAAATAATACTAATTTTATTAATGACCCACTTAAACTGTCAAACTGATTTGCAATTTAGTTATGCTGTTTAATTACATTTTTGAGTTTTTTCTAAATTTGGGCGATGACTTTGGACTTTTAGGGGCGGAGATTTTTTTAAGGGTAGAAAATGCTCATTGAAGAGGTAGCTCGTATGTGATATTAAGAAGCTTGTAAGTGGCTGTTGTGTTTAAAATCAGTGTTTATGTTATTATTTCCAGTTTACATATCCAATATAGGTTTTATCCGTTCAAGGCAGTCAAATTTGTTCATAACTTTATTATTAGTAAGCTGAGAGTTAGCGTATCCAAGGAAACAGTTATCGGAATGCACCTTGTCAAAATAAGAGAGTTCCCGGATCCTGTTTCGATGGGATCCAGCTCAAATTAAGCCCTGGTTTAGGGTATGTGTGACCAAATAAACAGTTCTCAAATGTTTCATTAAATGACCTGATTCCCAGGTATACCGTTTCTGATCTAGTTCACCAGTTTAGAATGTGAGACTAACTGGTTTAAAGTGTTTCTGACCAAATTACCTGGCTTAGGTTATTTCTCACCAGTTTGACATTTTTAGAATGTAAGTGACGAAAGTACCTGATTAAAGTGAGTCTGATCAAGTTTATCGGTTTAGAACGTAAACCCAAGTTAAATGCGTAAAAGTGAGTCAGAAAAAGGTAACTAGTTAAGTGTTTCTAAACAACTTATCTGATTTAAAATGTTTCTGATCTAGTTAACTAGCGAAAAATGAGTCTGGACAGTGTCCTGGTTTAGCGTTTTGACCTAGTTACCTGAATGAGTCTAGGTTAACCAGTTTAAAGTGTTTCTGACTAAGTTACCTGGTAAATTGTGAGTCTGGCTTAGTTAATTGGTTTCATGAACCACCTTGCTGACTGGTTTCTGGTTGGTTGTGTTGCAGTGTGCGGCATGCGGCCCCTTTTTGAACTTGCAAACAAAAAGGACAAGAATGAGGACGACCTGGTGGACTCCTACAGAGATAAAAGGATTGTCGGGGGGAGCAACGCTGAGGTGGCCTCAGCACCATGGTAACTACAAGCCGTCATTGTGGTAACCACACATAAACATCCCCAGTAACAGTTTAGACTTTAAAAATCAAACTGTTAATACTATTAACCCACCCTCAGAAAGGTCATCTAGGTGTTAAATATCTCATTTCCTGTTCTTAAAAAATAAAAGCATGCTTTTTTTGCAGGCAGGTGATGCTGTACAAACGCAGCCCACAGGAGCTTCTGTGTGGAGCCAGTCTGCTCAGTGACCAGTGGATCCTGACTGCAGCGCACTGCATTCTTTATCCTCCCTGGAATAAAAACTTTACCTCCAACGACATCCTGGTCCGCTTGGGGAAACACAACAGAGCCGCGTAAGACGACCCGCAGGCCCGTTTTTAGTCTGATCATTCCTAAAGACTTGTGTGGGCAGCGGTGGATGGGTGGTTAGAGCAGTTGTCCTCCAATGGGAGAGTTGGGGGTTCGATCCCACCAGCAATCACATGCTGAAGTGTCCCTGGGCAAGACACTGAACCCTTCATTATCTCTGATGTGTGTCCCATTGGTGCATGAATTTGATTTAAAGCACTGATTAGTTTCTAGTACAGATTCAGATTATCTTTGTAGAGATCTAGTAGAGTGCTGTAAGAATGGGTAAATGAGGGCACAGATTGTAGCGTAAAGCGCTTTGAGTATCTTGAATAGATAGAAAGGCATTATATAAGTACAGTCTATTTGCCATTTGTTTTTTCAGTCATATTAAAAAGTCCATTTTTATCCAGATTTGAGCGTGGAATTGAGAAGATTGTTGCAATTGACGAAATCATTGTCCATCCCAAATACAACTGGAAAGAAAATCTGAATCGGGACATCGCTCTGCTGCACATGAGACGGCCTGTCACTTTCACCAACGAGATCCATCCCGTCTGCATACCGAGCAAGCAGGTCGCCAGGACGTAAGACAACGAACCAAAACCAGCTGTTCTTTCGTTTGAATGTTTTCTGAAGCAGATTCAGTCCCAAACTCATTTGTGGTATTTTTTTTCCAACAGTCTGATGACTGAAGGCTTTAAGGGCCGAGTGACCGGCTGGGGGAACCTGAAGGAGACCTGGAACCCTGCGCAAAGAAATTTACCCGCAGTCCTCCAGCAGATCCACCTTCCGATTGTGGATCAAGACGTCTGCCGCAAGTCCACGGCGGTCAGAATAACAGACAACATGTTCTGTGCAGGTAACTTCTCAGTTTTTAAATGTACATACAAAGAATAATAAAGAAGTGGTAAGCATAAATAATAATAATGGAAGTGAGGTTAGCTCAGATGTTAGCCTTAGCTCAGTTTATACTTGTCACTTCAAGGACTGTTAACTAGTTGAGATCTTTGATTCGCCTGAAAAACTTTAGGAAACATTAGAAAATGAGATGTGAATATTTTTTATTTAGAGGCAGGTCAACTAAAAACAGAGGTCTGCTGATCCATTTATAGGTCCTTAGACAAAGAACAAATATTACACTGAATATTATGAATGTTTTGTTCTAAATCACTTTAAAATAATGTCATGGCTTCAAGAAAATATACACTAGTCCCTCGCTACTTCGTGGTTCGACTTTCACGGCCTCGCTCTTTTGTGGTTTTTCAAAGTAAGACTGGACACGATGCACAACTGGCTGATTGATGGATGAGACGCACGATTGGCATGGAATTTTTATTTAAAATAAATTATTTAAAATTATTGAGCGTCTGCTGCACCTGTGTGCAGCCCACAGGTGCAGGGAGAAGATCCATCCTGCAGCATGTCATAATCTCTGCTCTGCAGCGAAGAAGTGGGCGTGGCCAAGAGTGTTGGCGGGTGGCAGAGAGCGGAGATCATGACATGCTGTGCTCTTTTAGAGCGTTTAAAGTTTAGAAACATTGTTTCGAATATTGCGAAAGCGTGGGAAGGGTTTAAAATGCCTTCATATATATATATATATATATAT